AGGATTGGGGTATGCAGGATGTTTTGTTGGATGGTTGAAGAGGTACTTATGGAATTAATGTGTTCTAAATGGAATTAAATTTGGTAAAACTCGGATTAAGGTGAACCTTTTTAGCTCGAATCATGAAATTTGGTACTTAAATTCAATTTATGGTCGATATTAATGTGTAGATTTATTTGTTTTTCTGACATATGCAGTATTTTGTGGAAATAAGTGTTGGAAGTTCCTACTTATGATTGTTAAAGTAGGTAGTTATGGAAATTTATATTAATGTGCACTAACTCAATTTGGATTTGGGTGAAGCAATATTTGATTTTTTTTAAATAAGTATTTCAAGAGTACAAATGGTAAAAATGACACCAAATTTAGTATAGAGGTAGATTTCTTTTGCGGTCGGAATAGGTGTGTAGGGTTGAGATATAGAGGTAGATTGGAATTTGAGAACAAATGATTGTAAAATTTTAATAACAGTCGATATAGGGTTTTAAATACATCCCACATTCGCTAACGAAGTAGCGGGTATATGCTAGTATGTTTATAAAATTCAAGCTTAATTCCGACCATTGCAATTCCGTTATTGCATCTCGGGTTCCGCTGAATTACTTCAATTTTGTAAATATATATACTAAAAATTAAAAAAAAAAAACTTACCCCGATTGGTGTTGCGTTGAGCTGTCAGAATCGCACAGCAAAATATCAGCCGGTAACGAAACAGTGCTCAACCTCCTCAGTGCTCGATGAATCTTTATCAACTCGAATAATTGATGTGCTTTTGAAGTTTTCGTACAATTTTCAGTACTCCTCGTTTTGTCATTGCCGTTGTGCAGGAAACTTGTTGTCGATGCACAATTTGCATTTGAATTGGCCAAATTGCTGTAGTTGAGAGTGTTGGCATTGTGTTTGCCAGTTTCGCCAGCCCCCAAGTTGTTTCCCTTGTTAAGGGGGATGGTCTCACTACTGCTGCTGTTGCTACTGGAGCTGCTGTCGTTGCCACTAGTAGACCTCCTCCAACCAATATTGGCACTATCAGGGTTTCTCATCGGCATCGTTATTAGAATTTCGTTGTTCTTTTTATTTGTAGATTTATTTCTTGTTGTTGGTGATACTATCGCAATTTGTGGTTTTTGTTGTAGAGTTGCTGGTGGTGATGATGATGACGTTGTTGTTTGCAGTGTTGGCCTCCCCTCGAATGTCTTAACATTTCTGGTATTGGCAGCTAGCCTAGAACTAAAGGAATGAAAATGATAACAATACCAAACAACAACAATATGATTTATTAAAATAATGAATATTTAAATACCATGGCAAGAAATATGAATCTTAAGTTGTTCAAAAGAAACCATAAGAAAATTATTTTCCATACTTTTCACTAATGGCTGGAAATTCCAACGAAACGAAACAAGTTGGTCTGCCGAGCCATAACCTGCACGAAATTTGAAACTACTTAACAATATTTTGATATTAAGATCACTCCGCAAGGAATAAGTCATGATGCTGGTAGAACAGGGAAGAATAATTTTAATTGAACATTTGTAGGACTTTTTGTACCCTTCACCATACTGTGGTACAGGTTATTATGTCGATGTGCATATGTTTGTAACAAGCAAAAGGAAACGAGATAGACACATGGTTCCTTTTGAGAATATGCATATAATCACTTTCTAAGTCGATTTATGCACGTCCGTCTGTCTGTCTGTCTGTCCATGTTAAATTGTAAACAAAGTATAGGTCGGATTTTTGATTCGAATTGGATGAAATTTGGCACAGCTCATTTATTTGACCCAAGGAGAAACCCTATTGAAATTGGGAAAAAAGCTCCATATATACTTTTAAGGTAAATGGTGCACCAAAGTTTCTATATATCCTTCGTTTTGCACGAAATTTGGCAAATCGTACTGAATTGAGTCTGAAATAATGTGTACTAAGTTTCGTGAAAATCGGTTCAGATTTATATATAGCTCCTATATATATTTTCGTCCGATTTTAGATAAATGGTGTCTCTATATATCCTTCGATTTGCACGAAATTTGGCATAGCGTACTGAATTATGTCTAGAACGATGTGTGTTAAATTTCGTGAAAATCGGTTCAGATTTAGATATAGCTCCCATATATATTTTCGTCCGATTTTAGATAAATGGTGCACCAAAGTCTCTACAAATCCTTCGATTTGCACGAAATTTGGCAAAACGTACTGAATTGAGTCAAGAAAGATGTGTGTTAAATTTCATGAAAATAAGTACAGGTTTCGATATAGCTCCCATATATATTTTCGTCTGAATTTAGGTAAATGGTGCACCAAAATCCCTATATATCTTTAGATTTTCACGAAATTTGGCATAGCGTACTGAATTAAGTCTAGAAAGATGTGTGTTAAATTTCATGAAAATAGGTTCAGATTTCGATATAGCTCCCGTATATATTTTCGTCCGATTTTAGGTAAATAGTGCACCAAAGTCCCTATATATCCTTCGATTTGCACAAAATTTGGCAAAGGGTACTGAATTAAGTCTAGAAAGATGTGTGAAAAGTTTCGTGAAAATTGGTTCAGTTTTAGATATAGCTCCCCTAAATATTTTCGTCCGATTTTAGATAAATGGTGCACCAAAGTCTCTATATATCCTTCGATATGCACGAAATTTGGCATAGCGTACTGAATTGTGTGTAGAATGATGAGTGGTGAGTTTCGGGAAAATCGGTTTAGATTTCAATATAGCTCCGATATATATTTTCGTCCGATTTTAGATAAATAGTGCACCAAAGTCCCTATATATCCTTCGATTTGCACGAAATTTGGCAAAACGTACTGCATTAAGTCTAGAACGATGTGTGTTAAGTTTCGTAAAAATCGGTTCAGTTTTAGATATAGCTCCCATATATATTTGCCTCCGATTTTAGGTATATAGTGCACCAAAGACCCTATATATTCTTCTATTTGCACGAAATTTGGCAAAGCGTACTGAATTGAGTCTAGAATGATGAGTGGTGAGTTTCGGAAAAAAATCGGTTCAGATTTCGATGTAGCTCCCACATATACATATATATTTGTCCGATTTTACCTAAATGGTGCATCAAAATCCTAATTTTTGTGCGATTCACACGAAATTTTGCACAATGTATCAAAGTGTGTCTGTTTGAAATTAAATATTTAACAGTGCGGTGTTCCGAATAGCGTTTATCAATTTAGCTATAAACCGTTTTCCATAAATTTTTCACATGGCACGAAGACGACTCTAAATCTGCCCGAATGAAATTAAATTTATCATAGGTTGCAGAAAGACATGAGTGTGTTCCTTCGAGGGAACATTGACATGTACAATATACCCAAATTGGTGAAGGGTATCATATAGTCGGCACAGTCCGACATTATTACTTTCCTTCCTGGTTTATTGATATTTTATAAATCCTTGGAAAATATGTTTCAAACTTAAATACATTCTAAGGATAGTCTTTGAAAAATTGGTTTCTTAAAAATTTACGGAGATGTTTTTTCAATGTCTCAAAAAGGCGTGGATTTTTTAAAAATAATTTTTAAGTCCTCTCAATCCTTGGATTACTTAAAAAATATTTTTTCTAGCTTTCTAGGAGTGAATTTCATGAAAATATTTTTTTTTCACTTCTACAATCCTTATCTCGAACATCTCATGAAGGATCTGTACCCAGGGAAGAGCTCATATAGTTTCTGCGATCTATGTAACACTCGTGAGGGCTATTTTATCCAGAATACGCTACGAAGAATTTTCCACTTATAGAATATCACGTCAAGGCTGTTCCACCTAAAGTAGACCTCATGACCTATATATCGAATCTTCAATATATCTCTATTTATAAAAAAAGGCTTCACCAATGCTGTCCCATCTATAAGGGACCTCCTGAAGGTTATTCCATCTTTTGAAGGTTCCTCTATTTTCAGGAGACCTCTTCTATCTATAGAAGATCTCTAGAAGGTTCGTATGTCTATAGAAGATCTCTAGAAGGTTCGAATGTCTATAGAAGTTCTCTAGAAGGTTCGGCTGTCTATGGAAGTTCTCTAGAACACTTGAAGTTTCCATTATCTAGTGAAGATGTCAAAAATGTTTTCATAGAAAATTCCTTGAAAGGAATACTATCAATAGAAGACATCCTGAAGTTTTTTTTTATCTGGAGGAGAGGCATGAAGGCTCCTTTGCCTATAGAAGGCCTAACAAAAAATCCTTTTGTCACTTGACGATTTAATAAAGGGTCTTCTATGCATAAAATGTTTAATTAAGGTACTTCAATCTATGGAGGACCTCGTAAATCTATGGAAGACCTAGGCCTAATACAAGAATTCGTGAATAATATTCGAAGGCTTTTCTAACTACAGAAGATCGCGTGAAGGACCCTATTTATATATAAAAGACTTTATGAAAAAAGTTCTATCTTACTATGAATGGTGACCTTATATAGAATCTACTCTCCTCTTCGAACCTTTATTAAAGTCGCTCTATGTATAAAAGCCTAATGAAAACTTTTCTATTTATAAAAAACCTCATGCAGGTTCTACTATCTATGGAAGAATATCTCATAAAGATCTCAATAATATATATTGAGGACCGCATTAAGGTTCGTTTATCTACAGAATGAGACATCATGAAGGTTTCTATATATAGAATACCTCATAAAATAACTAGAATAAAAATAGCTGGGATAACATTTTCACGAAGGTCCTTCTATCTATAGAAAAAGGCCCCATGGAGGGTGGCCCACCTACATAAGACATCATCAGGGTAGGCTCTTCCAATCAATGAAAACCCTATGGATGACCTCATAAAATCCCATCCACTAATTGAACACCTCTTGAAGGGTATTCTATGTGTAGAAAACGCTGTTAAGGTTCAATTATGTACTGCAAACATCTTGAAGGTTCTAGTCCCTCTGGCAGATATTTGGACACTTCTTGCTATAAAATACCTCTACAAGAGACCCCTCAAAAGGACTTCAAAACAAGTGACCTTCTTCAATAAACGAAACCCCAATTACTTACCTAGCCAAATTGACATCCAATGGAGTAGCAGCGGCAGCCTCATTGTCATCACTCACGCATATGCCATTCGTAACCACTACATTCTCATTTTTCCTAGATATATCACCGGTGAAGGTTCCATCAACACTATCACCTTCGGCAGCAGCAACATCATCATCATCATTCAGTTTTGATGTCACTGACATTTCACCTAAAAACACCAGAGACGTTGCAGCCAATGGTATGACACGCGGTGTGGCTGCTGCTGTCAATAGACAATCTGACATTAATGGCTGCGGCGGCCGTATTTGTGATGAGTTCATGGTTGTAGTGGTGATGACATTGACAACGGTATTGTGAGCCGAAGTTCCACCGACAAAATTATTCTCGCGACCGACACCTGTCTGTGATGGATTGGATGGAGCTGAGAGCGAAGATGCTGTGGCATTTTTGCACAGCAATGTCCATTGTGAGATATTACTTGAGGAACGTGTTGGGATTGGTGGTGTTGTTGTTTTTGTACATTGTAATGTTGGTGTGGTGAGTGGTGATTTTTTATCTTCGGAGCACGATGAGAGGAATGTATTGTCATAGTGACATTTGTTGTTTGCTTCCATTGACAGTGTTGTATTGACGCCATTAACTTTGACAGTTGATATATTTGTTGTTGTTGCTGTGGGTTTTCTTATGTGGCCATTTGTAGTTGTGGTAGGTAATGTGTGACTGTGGTTGGTGTTGTTATTGTTGTTCTGAAGTGATAGCGGTCGATTGAAATTGTTACGTTTCAAAGTCAACGATTTCAGATAGTCGTGTTGCTTGTCGTATGGCAGATGCTGACAGGTTCCACATTTGGGTGAATACGAACAATGATCTTCGGCTTGAGAACAATTCGATGTGGTAAGTCGCAGCGGTTTTGTGTGTGTAGTTGTATTGGTGTTCGTGGTAGCCGATTTAAGTGTATCTCTGCAGAAGTGGGTGTGTAATAGAAATAAAAATAAATAAAGAAAATAAAAATTAAAAAAAACGAGATAAATTAAAAGTCGAATTTGCCGATATTCATTAATATATTATACCCTCAGCCTCTGGAGGATATAATGTTAATAAGAGAGCCAGAATTTTTTTTCGTAATTGAAAATGTATGTTTTGAAAATATGAACTTCGGATGAAAAATGAAGATTGCATCCAAAGAAATATTTTGAAAGAGGCTGTACAGTTATATGAGGGATATTCCAAAACGCAAAACAACATTGGTAATTTCCATCGAGGATGTATTTTACCCCCTTGAGAATCGACAATATAAAAATTACATTGCACCCTTTTCAACACAGGTGGAAATACGCTTAAGATCATAAAAATTCCGTAACGTTAAAAGGCTGCCGAAAAAATGCCACCACATTACAATCACTTTGGTGGAAAATTTGTCTTCGACTTTCCTCAAAATACCTTAAATAATGCCGATATTTAGGGCTATCGAAAATGGAATATCCAACAGGATAGGTATGCGCCACATATCCAAGTATTTGCAATGAAAGCTCACCGTTTGAGCTGATTATTCAGAACCACAACTACATGCGAAACATGAGAATACAATGTAACTTGGTGGAGTTAGTGGCACTAAGAAAAACCACGGCAAGCGGGTTCTCAAGTCGCTAGCCGGCAGCACTTGGGGAGCTGACAAGGAAACCTTGTTAACGACTTATAAAGCAATATGCCGCTCTGTGGTAAACTATGCGCCGCCAGTGTGGTCCGCTAACGTCAGTGCAACGCAGTGGAAAAATCTTCAATCCTACCAGAATGCCGCCCTTAAGACTGCAACAGGGTGTCTCCTCATGACTCCAATAGACCACTTGCAAGAGGAGACGAAGATCCTTCCTGTGCGTCAACACAACAAGATGTTGTCGATGCAATACTTGCTTGGGTGTTATAGGAGCAGCCATCCGAACCACTACCTAATGGATAGGCACACACCACCCAGTCATGTCGGGAAGGATCTCCATGATCTGGAGAGAGAGGTCCAGAGGTACAAAAGGGAGCCTCTAGATCAACAGGCCTATCAAGCAGGATTGAACAGTATTACACGGACGCAGTTGAGGAAGCATTTCAAGAATATCGCGTGAATACCATCCTCGGGGACCATCTGCCTTTGATAGCTGCAGAAGGCCAGCAACTACCTCGACAAACTAGAGTGGTCTTGGCACAACTGAGATCTGGATGGTGTAGCCGCTTCAATTCGTATTGGGCACGAATTGATGGAGAGGTCGACAATGTCTGCCCGGCATGTGGTAACGGACCACATGGCATGCTACATCTTTTCAACTGTCCAGTCAAACCCACTCACCTAATCCCATCTTCTCCCTGGACTCAACCAGTACAGGTCGCAGCCATTCTGAATTTGGAGTTAGAGGCAGAACCAGATTAAAGAAAATTGAAAATACACAGCAGTACTAGCTGCTACAACAACGGCAAGCGGGGTGGTCAGAGCCTTTAGAGTTCACCCAAGGTTTTGACTGCTGAAAACTGAGTCAATAGCCCTTTACTCAGCAAGGTATTTAGAGCTCCTTATTGCCCCCCGGAAGGATCACATGGGACTTGCAAGCTATCGCACAGTCAAGACAATTTTAGTATAAGTTTGTAAGAACAAACACAACTAAGCGGAACGGCTTAGATCCTCATGAAAAAGGTTGAGTATTACAGCGTACGTCACGTCAGAATCAAAAGAAAAAAAATATCGGGAACTGCGTTGAACCCAAAATTGACTGACCTTTCAGTTGTTAGATAGGGAATAACGTGAATAACGACGTGGCAAAACAATAGAACTTGACGTCATGCTACGCAAGATTTGAGCGTCTGTTAGTGACACCCACGACAAGACCAGTGGCGAATCATTAAATCTCAGCTGATTTCAAGAAACCATTAGGCTATTGAGGCAATTGAGATTTCGTATGAGGAACCGACATAAAACATTGCATCTGCCGATGCCACAACTTATCGTATCGCCACTCCCCTCACTGATAATAATTGACAGTGAGTCGATGGGCGGAACGGAGAGTTTGGTCTCAAAGTTAGTCCCCCTATTCGACGGGTCATTCAGAAAGGCCTAGAGGTGGCATTCCGAAAATCACCATACTTACCTATTTTACAAATACACGTAGAATAGCGACGAATGTTTGCCATGTCGCACATTCGTCATTCCTTGAAACCATACAACATGATACTCGAGCGTCTGGTGCTCGAGGCCAGTTGAGCGTCATTAAACAGTTGACGAAATCCACTAACCAAAAGGCTGTTGAGATAATTGAGATTTCAGGTGAGGAAAATACCACCCAACTACGGAAACTCCTCTGAGCCCAATCATTCCGACAATACAGATAGTTTAGGTATGCCCAGATATGAATACGTCTGCCCAGTACATGGAGTCTAGCGAATAGGAGGTTGAAGGAAGTAATTTCTGGTCGAAACCCCAACATAGTGTCATCCGAGACGAGTCTTTGGGAATCACAATAATCCGTAGCATGATTGTGAATTTGATTATTCATTGCATAGGCATGAGATTAGACTTACTGATTCGTTAGAGGAAGAATAAAATGATCGTAGGTGTTTGTAACTGAAGTTCTGCAGTAATACGGATGAATATTGCGATATTCTCAGCTCACGAGCCATTTTTCGACCACTGCGACGAGGGTTTCGATCAAGTCGCTTCTTTACATTTCGAACCATTTCTGCTGATGTTGCAGTTTTCTTTCGTCCACTTCATTGATTTTCCTTAATTTTTTTTTAAGGTTATTCCCTATAAGGCCCTGGCACTTTTCACCGGTATAATTAACTTTTGCAGGGGTCGTTGTCCAGCAGTTTGTAAACAAACAAAACGATCGTGTTTACTTGCCAAAGAGGTCAGCTGAAAATGTGCACTTTCGGTTGGCCACCAGAACTGAAGCGCCGGCCATGGGGATGGTGTGAGCCGCCATAAAAGCCGATGGTCGTTCTCCGGTGGTATTAATCGACCGTGGCATCATAATATTCCGGAGGGTGTATTAAAGCCTTGGGCACGCAAACATTTTGGCCGCTGACCTTGAACATTCCAACAGGACTCAGCACCATCGCACTCAGCACGAGCCACCCAAGAATTAACGAAATGAGGTTCCTCGCTTCATTTCTATCTCCGGATAGAAATCCGTTGGACTATTGTGTCTGGAGTATTTTGGAAAGCAATGTTAGCACTAAAAAATACCAAAGTTTCGATCACCTCAAGCAATCGCTTTGCCGGGAATATGCCAAAATACCGCGGAACAACATTCGGGCAACGTATGACGGTTCTTTGGCCGTTTGAAAGCCATAATTCGTGACCAATTCTACAATTTGATGCTATTTCCGACATTTTTTGCTTTCATTCAATAAAATTGAAATAAAAATGTAAAAATTATGGCGTTTGACTTTATATACCCAATATAATATTGTCGGACCGGTCTGCGGGGTATCAACTGCACAACTACCAATGAATTCTAACTTTTTGCGGATCTATATCCCGAGTTTGGACAATAGTTACCTATATTTATAACCTCTTGTTCGATTAGAGGACAGCAGCTCCTCCGTATTATCATCGAATATTTTTCGATAAGATTCGAATGACCATGTCCCTTTCACCGTGTAAAATTTAAGATGTTCGGCTTAGAATAGTGACCTCTAGAATGACTAGAAAATAAGACAAATGTTAAGTTTTTGGTCCATTTTATCACCTAAATATCATCTGATCAGTATCTAAAATTATAGGCGCCACCCTTGGCCATAAGCGAATTTCAAGCCGATTGGATCGACATTTCTGTCCCCTAGCATGGTAATGTAGAACAATTTAGTACCCCTTGAGTGAATGAAATTCCCCAATGTAAGGTGAAGGGTATACACCATAGAGTGGAGAATTTTTCATTCCGTATGCAACACCTTGAAATATTCACCGGAGGCCCGACAATGTTTACATATATTCATGATCAGAATAAAAATCTATGTTTATTCGCGTCCGTCTGTTGAAATCTCGAAATAGATTGCAGTACTTATATTAGAACTCTGAATAATAGCACAGACAGGGATAGATCGGTTCACGTTTTAGTGCAGACTGTTACACACTTGGGGGCCACACAAAGCTTTAATACCCTTACAACATAGTTGTGTAGGGTGTCAAAATAAAATACGAGGATAGTTCGGAAAGTTCTTAGCCTAGCACAAAGAACACGGATAAACAGATAAAAAAGATGCATCCGCAATTTTTTTACAATGGAAAAATTGATTCACTAAAAAAATTGCTGATGCGTCTTTTTTGAACACCTGTTTTTATGAAGGAGTTGCCAGATCGAAACAAAATTTAACATGTGTTCATAAGAGATGGAAGTTTCCAACACACTTAACTTTTTTTGTTTATACCGCGCTTTTTGTACTAGACTCGGAACTTTCGAACTGTCCTTGTAAATACCCCAGAAAACAAAAGGAAACCAGTGAGCGGAGCAGTATAGTCGGACGGGGCCGACCATATGATACCCTACACAACTTCCACGAAAATCTAACTTTCTGTGGTACTATATTCTGAGTTTGGGCAATATTTCGCGACCTCATGACCGACTAGAGGTCAACAAATACTATTATTACTAATATTCAGTACAGCCCTTCTAATTACTTGTCTAGATTTCCTTCACCGTGGGTTGTGTTGCAATCAGGGATGGTCCGTGTGACGAATTTTTAGGTTTTCGACTGTCAAAAAGGTGTAAACGTCGAAAACGTCATATACCTGTATAAAATGTAATAAATGTAGTAAACGTCATTTATTTCAATATTATCAGCATACACAGTTATTTTCAAGAATATATATTATTTTTACATATATCTATTCCATACAAGAACTGATAAAAAAATTTAAATTTTTTGAGAAGAAAATTTTGAAATTTTATATTAATTTGAATAAAGCATGCGTAATTTCCAAATTGATTAATGGAAATAGCTATTTTGTCAGAAACCTAATGTATTTGGGTAGGTTTCCGACGTTTCTGACGTATGTATTATACGTCGGAAATGTATGTCATTTACATCACTGTTTCTGATAGGCCATCTCTGGTTGCAATGTTCGGCTTTCAATTTTTGACTATAGATCGACTCGAAAAAAACCAAAAAAAAAAAAAAAAAAAAAAACAACAAAAAGAAAAAAAAAATCGGTCCACTTCATCCCAATATTATTATCTGATCATCACCGAAAATTATAGGCGTTGTCCTTGATCCTCTTAGAAAATTTCACAGCGATCCGCGCTATATTTTCGCCCTCTAATGTGGTAATAGGTTACTAAATAATATATGAATACGTAAGCACCTGAAAATATTTGCGTGTAACTCCCACATCCAAGTACATACGACCATATAATTGGTATCAATTTAATGGCCAACGACTCCTCTTGGATATACTCTGGGGTCTATGTCCTTCAGGGGTAAATATATACGCCCCAGAATATTTTTTTTTTAATTTTTCACACAAAAGTCGGGGTCCATTTGACCCGCTAAATATTGACCGACCTTTTTCAAAACAGGCATGCTTATTCTTTGGTCCGATCTCCTTCTCCAAGTAAAAATGGCAAAAATGAGCTCGGGGTAAAGCCATTGAAATTCCAAAAAGTGCAAGAACTTACACCGCAAAAGAAAGAAAATAGACTAAAAAGAGCTAAAGAGTCGCTTCGCTTGGCCGAAAGTGGTAAACTGCCGAATTTGGTTGTATCCGAAGCGACAACATTCGGCTATGCTCGGACCATAATTGCGGCCTCTGGAGCGTCCAGAAAAAAACCGACAAAAATTTAGTATTTGGTCCATTTCATCCCTTAAATATTAACCGATCTTTACTAAAAAACAATAGGGGTCTTCATTGACCAGAACCCATCTTACATGCAAAATTTCGTGAATATTGGTCCATAACTGTGGCCTGTATCGTGTTTACAAGTTATAATGGCCAGACGGACGGACGGACAAACATGTCTAGATCGGCTCAGCTAGTCGAGATATGACGACGACGGCGTTACAAACTTTTGGGGCTGCACAAAGCTCTAATACCCTGACAACATAGTTGTGTAGGGTATAAAAATGTCAAAAATGTGGAATAGATTTTATCAAATTAGAGTTAACACAATAACTTAGGCAAGAGGCTGAGGGTAATAACAATTACAAATGATAAAAATTAAACGAATTAAATTAAAAATATGACAAGTGGTGAGTGTGTGTTGTTTTAAAAGTAAAAAAAAAATAAAAATTAAAAAAATAATATTAGTCGTTAGTAATATTGAGTTAGGATTCCACCATTCCAAAACCATTTAGTATTGATTAAAGCTTCAGGGTTTTATTTTTTATTGGAGATATATTTCGTTTTTATTGAGTATTTCTTTTTTTTTTAATTGTAATTTTCAAATTTCATTTCATGTTAATATGGTGAGTTTCTTATTAGTTAACATTAGCACTACAGACTCTTGGTTAATGGAATTGTTGTTGTTGTTGTTTTTGTTTTTTTTTCTTTTTTCAAAATTAATTGTTTTTGTCATTGGTTATCATTCTTTTTCTATACTCTCATGGTGGACTTAGTCTATGTTATTGTTTAGGATTAGTTATACATGCTACTCTTAGTTGGATCCATAAAAGTTCAGGTGTTCGGAAAATTAGAAGGTTATATATATTTTTTTCAAATATGTCTTGCCAAGCAGTCTTCTTCTTCTTAAACAAAAAACACAAAGTGGTGAAATTCTCTTTGGTTTTTTTTTTTGTTATAGTTTTTTCTCAAGTTTTTTTTATATATTGTGAGTGGGGGGAGATCATTTGTTTCTATAAACATTTAGTAATATATAGTAAGTATTTTAGTAGTAGTTAGTTTTTTTCTGTTGTTGTTATTTTTTTCTCAACACTTAAATTAACATTTGTTAGTTTTTTTTTTTGGTTTTTCTCTTTGGGGCCTTTTTTAAAAAAGTGGGAATCACTACAAGATTAATTTTTGTTGTTGCTGTTGTTATTTTTAATAATATTAATAGGTTAGCTAAGTTTTCTTTTACTGTTAATACACCACAATAAATTTGGTGTGTTTGGTTTTCAAATTCAATAATTTTGTTGTTGTTGTTATTTTAATTCAACATAAATTCCCTCAATACCTTCCACGATTGGTGCTACGTGTCCTCCGATACATATCATTGTAATCATTGCGATAATCGGCCGTGGTATCCGGTGGTGTCATCTCATCCCTCGATGAGCCTCGATCATGTGAACGTTCCAACGAATAATGTGACTCATTTGGACTATGGGTACGCCTCAGCGAACGCTGCTGTTTCAACGAATTCGAGCTGACATGCTCATAGATGCGACCATCGTTATTCATGAAATTCAGCTCCGAATTACCTCCGGAATTAATGGTCTCACGATTACGCATTATGGGCATATCATAATCTCCCCCACCACTGCTACCACCTCCGCCAGCACTATCACCCCTCCTAAACTCCATAATCGGCGAACGATCTAAACTCTTGCGCATTAGGTCATATGTCATTTCGTGATCACACAAACGAGTGCCATAATTCTGGGGACTGGTCGTCTGGCGTGGTACACTCAAATTATTGCAAGACGACCCGGAGGATTGTGGAGAACGTGTATTCCTGGAGCCACCACCACTTCCCCCTCCTCCTCCTCCGCCTTCTACAGGGGATGACCGCCTTAATCTCTGCTGATGATTACGTTCCGAAGATTCAGCAGCAGCCTGCAAATAACGCATTGCCGCCGCATTTAAATTATTATTGCTTACCACCGCCTCCCGATAGTCTTCATCAAAGGAACGTGACTTATCGAAATCCAGTCTCAGGGCGGCATCACGATTTAATACTCCCGCACTGCCCACCAGCAGGGAGTTATTGCTGTGCTGTGACTTCATGGCGGCATTCGTCTGCGAATTATAATTGCAATAATCGAAATCGAATGAACGACTCTTATCGATATCATTCTGGCGAACAATTTTACTGCCATTTGTCGATGGACCCAATAATATCGATTGGGATTTTCCTGTAGTTCGAATTGTGGGCGGAAAATTACTGGTTGGACCCATGGAGGCCATTTGATTGTTGCGCAGCATATTCGACTGCTGATATATGGGTGGCTGATTGGAGTTCGCATGGGATTGTCCAACACAAACGATCATTTTGTGGCCACGATTTGGTGAACGTTCGGTTAGCTGGAGGGATCTGGAAAACAGAAAACCAAAAGAGGAGAATTTATTTAGAAAAAAAACCTTGAAAAAGTATTCTTTAAAAAATCCATGCCTTAAAGAGTCCTTACAAAAATATTCTTTAAAAAATCCACGCCTTAAAGAGTCCTTACAAAAATATTCTTTAAAAAATCCACGCCTTAAATAGTCCTTACAAAAATATTCTTTAAAAAATCCATGCCTTAAAGAGTCCTTACAAAAATATTCTTTAAAAAATCCACGCCATAAATAGTCCTTGAAAAAATATTCTTTAAAAAATCCACGCCATAAAAAGTCCTTGAAAAAATATTCTTTAAAAAATCCACGCCATAAATAGTCCTTGAAAAAATATTCTTTAAAAAATCCACGCCTTAAATAGTCCTTGAAAAAATATTCTTTAAAAAATCCACGCCTTAAATAGTCCTTGAAAAAATATTCTTTAAAAAATCCACGCCTTAAATAGTCCTTGAAAAAATATTCTTTAAAAAATCCACGCCTTAAATAGTCCTTGAAAAAATATTCTTTAAAAAATCCACGCCTTAAATAGTCCTTGAAAAAATATTCTTTAAAAAATCCACGCCTTAAATAGTCCTTGAAAAAATATTCTTTAAAAAATCCACGCCTTAAATAGTCCTTGAAAAAATATTCTTTAAAAAATCCACGCCCAAAATCCACCACCAAAAATTATTGGCGATATCCTTGACCACAACCTGGAACCTCATGGAAAATTTCAAAGCGATCAGCGCTATATTTTTAACCTCTAGTGTGATTATGGGTTACTAAAAAATATCAGAGTACGTAAGAACTTGCAAATATTTAAGTGTAACTCCCACATCCGGGTACATATGATAATATAATTGGTATAAATTTAAAGTTCAACCGCTCCTCTTGGATCTGCTATCAACTTATCGGGTCTTTGTCCTTCAGGGCTAAATATATACGCCATAAAATACAACTTTTGTCATTTTTCACACAAAAGTCAGGGTCCATTTGATCCGCTAAATATTGACCGATCTTTATCAAAACTGGCATGCTTTTTCTTTGGTCCGATCCCCTTCTCCATGTTAAATTTCCCGACATTCTGGCCATAATTGCGGCCTCTGGAGCGACCAAAGAAACCGACAAAAATTAAGTATTTGGTCCATTTCATCACCTAAATAATAACCGACCTTTACCAAAAACAATAGGGGTCTTCATTTGCCAGTAAAAATCCTACGTGCAAAATTTAGTGGAGATTGGTCCATAACTGTGGCCTGTATCGTGTTTACAAATTATAATGGACAGAAGGACGGACACACATGTCTAGATCGACTCAGCTATCGAGATATGACTATCGGTATACTTAAAGGTGGGTCTAGGACCAATATTTCTTCGGGCTGCACAAAGCTATAATACCCCGACAACATAGAAAGATATTTAGAAAAATCCACGCCTCAGATAGGTAGCCATAAGCAATTTGTCTCCCACTACAAAAAGTCCATTTCTAAAAAATGTCGCCTTCTTTCTTACCTTGATCTACGTATACGATGTTCCTCCGCTTGCTTGGCATTGCGGCCAACCGAACGACGATATTGCTGGCCGCTACTGCCAACAGTCAGTCCATTACCACCGCCAACACCACCACCACCAATTCCATGATTATCATGTTCACGTCCACTATAACTTGAACTCGACGAACTTCGTGATATATTCACTTTCTCGTGTTTACGTTCCAAAGTGTTGCTACGTGAACTGGAATTTTGTCGTGAACCCATTAGGGAAATTTGTGATCCTTTGCGGCGACGATCTTCTGGTGTCAATGATCGTGATTCGGGAGTCAATGATCGTTGCTTTCGTAAACTACTCGACGAACTGTGCGATTCATTGCGATCTGGTGTTAGCGATCGTTGACGTTGCGATTTGAAAGGCGACGTTGACGGATGATAGCTGTTGGTGTTGAGAAATTCTGAAGAACCTGCATCATCGTCGTCGTTGTCCAATTCATCATTGGAGAGATCTGAAAGAAAAATAATAAAACAAAAACATGTCAGTATAATAATTTTAAGGTATAATAAGCAGAAGATCTAGTTGTGGTCCTTGAAAAAAATATTATCAAAAAAGCCCATGCCCAGGATTTGTCTTTGAACATTTTTTTAATTCTACACTTTTAGTGTCCCTCAAATATAATACCAATCTCGTTTTTAACTCGTAATAGTAAAATTATTTTATTATTTCTATATTTGCACACAATTTAGTAATACCCACTCACAGTTAACTTGGCTAACATTGTATTGCTTTAGTGGTATTCCCTTCCCCCACACCATTTCTTTACCATATCTCTTGGCAAAACACCGTATTTCTCATTTCGGAATGGTACTAATTTTACAAAAGTTGACATGATTTAAATCCCCTCTGTAGAAAATCTCAGCAAGTTTTCAAATGACAAATGTAAACTTGACTCTACAAAAATGTTTCCAAACAACAGAAAAAAAAAACTCAGCTGTGCACTGCGATTTCGGTTTTAGATTTATTTACTCAGCAGCAATTTCATGTTCGCCAGCCAGCATGACCCAGGCAAAAGGATTTGATATCCTCCATTTTTCCTCTCCCCCAAGTTCTCCAGTTGGATTTTTTTTCTGCATTATATTTGCAGTTGTGATAGCACACACACACACTAGACTCACCAACCCCAACCCTCCAACCTCCCTTGGATCAAAGTCCACATAACTATTATTACCTTTTTTCAGTTGGTTTCAAAAAAAAATCTCATATCTGGATGACAATAAATCTGCAACCAATTTGATAACACTTGCACAAGGGAGAGGACCAGAGAGTGGGGGAGAGTAAGAACAGAGAGTAGGGGAGAGAAGCTATGAAACGACAGAATAATTCTGGGAAATCTTTTTTCCTTTACAAATTAAAGTTAAGTGATATTTGTTATTTCAATGTGGCACAGAAGATTGGCTAAGCTAAATACTAAAATTGCATTTAGCATGGAAGGCCGGTCATTTAATAAATCCAAGAGGGTGGATGTTGGGGGTATGGCAATACAAATTAACGCTCGAGTTTGTAACTATCTGTCAGCAAAGAAATGAGATAAAAGAGCACGACGTTCTTTTGCTGTCATATCTTTGCTAACCGCCAACAAATAACGGATATCCTTGGTAACCATATAAAATATTTTCAACAACGAGATTTTACAGAATATTTTTTTCAAATACCAAAAAAAAAAGAAGATTACAAAATATTGTTTCCAACAACCAACAAAAGGTGTAGATATTTACGAAATTTTGCTTGTAGGACGGGTTGTGGCCAATGAAGACCCCTATTGTTTTTGGTAAAGATCGGTTAATATTTAGGTGATGAAATGGACCAAATACTTATTTTTTGTCGGTTTTTGGGTCGCTCCAAAGGCTGCAATTATGGCCCGAACATCCCGGAATTTAACATGGAGAAGGGGATCGAGCCAAATAATCAGCATGCCTGTTTGGATAAGGATCGGTCAATATTTAGCGGGCCAAATGGACCCTGACTTTTGTGTGAAAAATTACAAAATTTGTTTTCTATGGCGTATGTATTTGCCCCTGCAGGACCTAGACCCGAGATGTTGATAGTATGTTCAAGAGGAGTGGTTGACCTTTAAATTGATACCAATTATATGGTCGTATGTACTCGGAAGTGGGAGTTACACTTAAATATTTACAGGTGCTTACGTACTGAGACATTATTTGGTAACCAATTACCACACTAGAGGGCGGAAATATATTTTTTATTTTTTCACACAAAAGTCAGGGTGCATTTGATCCGCTAAATATTGACCGATCATTATCAAAACAGGCATGCCTATTCCTTGGTCCGATTCCCTCCTCCATGCAAAAATTCGGGGTGTTTGAGCCATAATTGCGGCCTCTGGAGCGACCAGAAAAACCGACAAAAATAAAGTTTTTGGTCCATTTCATCCTCTAAATATTAATCGATCTTTTCCAAAAACAATAGGGGTCTTCATTGGCCAGAACCCATCATACATGCAAAATTCTTCTATTCTTTAAAAGGACAATTCAAAGTGATTCAATGATGTTTACAAACATTACATTTCGATTCAATAATTTCCCGAAAACTTAAATCAAATTGCCAAAATATATAAGTATGCCCTGACTGTTTGCTTGACTGCTTAGCATTCAATTGTGTAGAAGTAGAAGTTTAAACAAAATTATTGTCAAAACTTTTTTTATTTAGTATTTGCCATACGTCCTTTGTTTGTATGCCAATTGAATGGTATTGACAGTTCAAACAACGAAGGACAAAAAAAGGATATGTTTTTAAAGTCGATTTTTTGATATTTATTTTCTTTCAGGGAAAATATGGGTTAATAATTGTTATATTTTTAGCGGAAAATAGTTAATTTTTAATATCAATTTTTGTAGATGAATGTCTTAAATAAATAATTTAATAATAACAAAAAGTGAAATGTTATCTTCATGATATCATTCTCCAACTAACGACCAAACCAACTAAAATCAATGCTGGCCATATTTCTGCACAGCTATGTATTTTCCAACCTTGAGGTGCCAGCATTCCCCTATTCCCACTCAATTGTCCATTAAATAATTTCAATATTTTTAATAACATTTGAAGTGGCTCTTGTTTTTTGTTTCTATTGCCATATATTCAAATAGTTTTTTTTCGATGACAATTTTATTTTATTTTTTCCT